AAAAAAAAAAAAAAAAAAAAGAAAGAAGAAGAAGCTTTCCTGCAAAATCAAGAAGAAACGTCAGCCCGATTTGTGTATCGAATTTTAGCCAATTATACAGACGTCCAGCCGATTTTTTCAAGTCGCGGATTAATGAAATGTGAACATAACCCCATACCGATATATATGTATATACATATTATATACATGTATGTATATACATATTATATAATATACGCGCACGCAAAGCATAAAATATTACGAATAAGTATATATAAACATGTAATTACACGTGCACACGTTCGGATGAGCAGTTATACGTAATCTGTTGATATTCTTCCTGCGTGCAGAACAAGAATATAACAGCCACGAGCTTCAATGAAGTTTTGCTAGCCATCGTACAGTAACACTACAAAAGTACCATTTCTATTTTTGTTTTCCCATTCGACATCCATTATTATTATCATCGACATGCATCATTTTATTTCTTATACATAAAAGTATTCAGCTCGTTTTACACTTTGTATCGTTGAAACAAGATCGAACGATCAAACGTAATATATTTGATCGATATCAAATTTTCACGTGTTCTGAAATACGCATTGATTGAAGCGTAAAAATATCGTATCTACGTTATTAAATGATAATACCAGGAAATATTTAGAAAACGTTCCGTGCGTTTCGTTTCGACGGATGCACTTTTTTCCGTGGGCGAACAGAATCGATTATAGAGCGAGTATTTTCGATAATTAATTTTGTAGTATTACTTGACCGCGTTAATTTATGACACGCTTGCACGCTGTTCCCCGTATTTCCTCGTGACGTTTTTCGTTTACTCTATTATGTCATCGTTTACCGCAAACGATCGGTACCCATTTGTACAACACGTATAAAAGAAAACACGATAACGGCCATTATGTAACGTTCCATCTCTACCACTCCTTGGTTTTCGATTCTCTTAGCCATCGGAACAGATGTGTTCGAATCGTTCAGGCAAAAGTTGTTACGCTCTTTAGACGCTCGTTCCTAAAACGAGTCATGCGAATCGATAAGTAAAGTGGCAATTATCTTCGAGATTGTGAATATTCGAGATCTCCTTAACATACGTGATCGGTAAAATAAATTTCTGTTTGTGCTCGCTTCGAAGCACATATATTTATTGCTTGTTTCTTCAATTTACATATCGTATCGATCTAAGAGATCTAAAAATTGTTTCGTGCTTTTAACTTCGCGTCGTATCACCGATCATCAGTTTTCGCAGACTCGCAAATTTCTTCCTCTCCTTTTTCGCTTTTTTGTCGGCCGAGTTATCGAACGATCGTTTTTCACGATAATCGTGTCGTTATTTCTTTCATTAATTTGCCCCACAAAACACGAACAGTCACGTAAACGTTACTCGAACACACCGACACACGAGCACAATAATTTCATTCGTCTCTTCCGTAAAATAAAAATGACAGAGGGAAAAAAGGAGATATATTCAAACGAACGAAAAAGAAGAAGTCTGAGAAACCAATTTTTCGTCGATTTTTTTCGACACGATCGTAGAATGTTTCAGAAAAAGAAAAAGAAAAAAAAAACAAAAAAAAAATAAATAAATAAATAAAATAGTACTGCATCGTGATCGTTGTGTGCATGTGTGAGAAGTGAAGAAAAAGGAGTTCACGAATTTCAAGACACTCGCTTTTATCCCGTTCATCGTTGTCCTTATTTTTGTGATATTGTATTTTCGTTGTCGCGTGAAACAACCGAGGAACACCGAGTGTTTTTTGTGTACACGGCATGTTATGAATTTAACAAAGGAGAGTCTTAGAGTCTCGTCGTTCACATTGTCGAATTAGGGAGCCATTTAAATAATTACCGATTCTGTTTAACACGCATAGTAAGGGAACGAAGCGAAGGTTTTTAAACAAATATTTTTTACGCGAGAAAAAAAAAACACAAAGCAAAGGCGGATTGATGAATAGCATGAAAGAACGAAACGGAAGCTCGGCGGTAATGGTACAGCTTGCAATGAGAAAACTTGCAATATAACAAGCAATAAATAAGCCACTTTTAATTCCATGTATATTAAACAATTATGTGGATGCTTAATGAGATTTATTGAATTAAAAACGAGCATAAAGAAAAATGAAAAAAAAAAAGTAATAAAGCCAAGAAACTAAGACGAAGTACCGATTTTACATATTCTTACTAATCGTAAACGATTACAATACGTATAGGGACATACTAAATTATACGATTATGTATCGATTTAAATGAACAGATTAAATGAAAATGGTAAATAAATAATTAATTAAACTAAAAAGCAAAAAAAAAAAAAAAAAACAGTATGATTGCGGGCGGGCATCGGCCGCGCAGACGGTAATGTCTAATCTACATAAGTACGTAAAAGGTTTCAATTTTACACTACCGATAATAATGACATAACGGTAAGGCTCTATATAAGATATAATGATGATTTATAATAATTATAACGTTGTACAGAATATTTATGAAAAGTGCGCTGCTGGCGAAAGAGCCGCGCGTTTCTCTTGCGTGTTCGTTGGTTGCGAACCCAGGAGTAAAAAAGAGACAAAAAGGAAAGAATGAAATAAAAGAAACGAGAAAGGAAACGAAATAAACGAGTGAACAAGAATGAAAAATTACGAGCAGACAAATGAGAAGCTTTTACCTTTTCTTGTAATCAGTCAAAAAAATTGTTCGAATTAGTCGTGATTTGAAATCGTCGATAAATTCTCAGACACCGAAGACAGGAACAACGCGCGACTCTCTATCCAAAAGCGGCTAGACTATAATGGATGTTTTGTAAGATAAAACAAAACGATCATGGATTATATTGAGATCGCGTTCAGAGAAACGTATAGTCGATTGCGTATTCGGGATAGCACGAATCGAAGGCGACGACGCCTTTCTCGATGGAGAAGATATGAAAAAAAGGGATAAAAAAAAAAAAAAAATGAAAAAAAAAGAATGAAGAAAAGAAGAAGTTACGAAAACCGCGGCTCTTTTCTTCGATGAATATATTCGAGCGTAGCGAACATGATGTGCCGTCGAAGGGCGAAAATTACGGTCCTTTAAAATTTAAATGGAAAAGAGAAATAAACAAAAAGATGCAAAAAAATAAAAAAATAAAAAAACAAAAGCGAAACAAAATAGAGAACAAAAGATAGAAAGTGAGAGAATTTATCCGCCGTAGGTATGTGGCGTAAGAAAGGGCCGATAATCTAATTCATTGTGTATGTATACAGACAAAAAATAAATATAATATTGCGATTATAAATATTAAACTAATAAAGAATTACAATATTGTACCCCTCTGTACATATAAATATATATTATAATACGATGATTATTACTATATGATTTATTATAAATATATATACATAAATATAAATATATCTCATGAATTCACATTATTATGTTTATTATTGTTTACTTATTATTATTGAAATTATTATCATTGCGATGATAACAAGGATGATGATTATTATTATTATGATAATATTATTAATATTTAAGAAAAGGTTCACAACGTGCCGTGTGTATGTGGGAATAAAATATATAATATAATGGACATTGTTCAATTCAATCCAACGTCTTTGTTGTTTTTCTCTTCCCTCATTTCTGATCTTATTTCTTATCCTTATCAATTTCAATGATCTTGTCTATTGACAGTTTCCTTTTAGATTCTAAAATATATATTTCTGCTAAATATTCGTTAAAATATATTAAATTAATTAGACCAATTAAAAAGTTACATTTACATTTTTAAATTGATCAATTATAACTGTATCGACTTTCTTTGTTTAATTAAAATTGAAGAATTTACCTTGGAACAATATATGACAATAGTATAGTTGACTTTTAATCAAATTTTGCAATGGAATACTTATTTCTAATAAAATAAATTAGGTAGTAATGTACATATATAGTTTACATTTCCCGCACTTTTGTTTTGTCCTGCAATCGAGAACAAAATTATCGATAGATCGAACAGAGAAACATGGCGCTCACCATGGCGTTTTCTTATCAGTGTCTCAAGTTATATGTCAAACGTGACATTAGCTTTTTGTTAGACGTCGTATGACAGTTTGATTAATAACGTTGTTCATTATTTATAACAAAATGGGTATTTTTTTCTCAAAGAAAAAACCACCGAGTCGCGTGACCGAACAAGACAAAGCCATTTTAGTATGGTCTCATATTTCCTAACCTCAACTACTTTTGTTTCAGGCACATGTTAATAGATTCTTATCATTTATAGCAATTGAAACAAACTAGGGATAAGATTAAGCAATATCAACGAAGAATCGAGCAAAATCTCGAGAAAGAACGATTACTCGCAAAAAAACTTGTACAAAATAAACAAAAAGAGTACGTGTCAAATTTACGTTATTACGTCGTTAGGAACACGATTACTCGTAATGTATTTTTTAAACATTATAAAATTTTTTCAGGCGTGCTTTACTTCTTTTACGCAAAAAGAAGTTCCAAGAACAAATATTGTCAAAGACTGATGGGCAACTAGAGAATCTTGAACGCATGGTACACGACTTAGAATTTGCACAAGTAGAACTGAAAGTTGTAGATGGTCTGAAAGTGGGCAATGCTGCATTGAAGAAACTGAATGATTTATTATCCATTGATGAAATTGAAAAAGTTATGGATGAAACTAGGGAAGGCATTGAAAAACAACAGGAGATTGATGAGATATTATCGGGAGAACTTACAGAAAAAGATGAGAATGAAGTTGAAGCTGAACTTGATGCTTTGTTAGCTGCAGAAGTTGAAGAGAAAGTACCAGAGGTACCAGAGGATATAATATTACCTGATGTGCCAGAAGAATTACCAAAAAAGGAAAAAGGTAACTGTTGCAATGTGAAATTGGATTTCTTGTTCTATTAAGAAAAGAAACATTTAGTTTTTTTATATATACTTTTCTGTATTTTTCAGAACGTACAAAAGAAAATACGCAAGAGGCAATTGCTCTGGAAGCATAAACAAGTGATAAATATCATTAATAAAGTTTTTATTCCATTGGTATTTTGCGCAGGGATCTATGTATATATGTACAGTATATTATATGTAAGGCACAACGTGAATAGTTCTCGTCCAAAGAGTGTAATTAAAAGAATGGAAATTTACTTTTTATTGACAAAGTGTCTTTTAAGTACTAAAGACTGTTCTATTATAGACTATGTGTGAGTGGTTTCGCTACAGAGAGTACATGATTTAGGCAAATGTATATTGCTCTTTCGTATATTACACATGTCATGAATGTTTCACAATAATTACATATATTATTACTGCCTTACATGTACAAATATCTTTTCACCTCATTATTGGCCTCTCTTACGTGTAGTTATACAAAAAAATACACAACATTAAGACCTTTCAGGAAATACGATCTGATTTACAATATGTTTCTTTAGATCTTATTCTATATTATAAGAAATTATAAACTTGATTCGAATAATGTACGCATCATAAAATCTTTCCAGAAGATACTTTTGGATTGAAGGGGGATAAAATACTGATCTTCATTGCACTCTCCCGAATATTATTTTCGAATAAAAAAGCAATTTCATATAATGCAATTAATAATTCATATTGCTTCTACTAATCCTACCATTATATCGATCATACATGTCTTAATATTTAGATTTTGTTCATTATTCTTCTTCTTAAATTTATATGATAATTAAAAAAATTATCTAACATTTCTTTCTGTTTCTATCCATAATATTTCATTCACCTGAAAAATTACTAAGCCTCCTTATTTGTTACGTGTACATGTAGATACATGTGATTAGTTTAAATTATTCAGAAGATAAACAATTCAACAACTGGGACATTATTAAATACACCTCACTGTCACTGAAACATATATTTAGTTAATACTAAAAATTTATTTACTTTTATTAATAATAAACATAGATATTAATTATAGATATAAAGTTTTCAGTTTTATAGTTTCACACCAAGTATTTTGTTCCAACATATTTAAATTTGTAAAAAGAATAATATGATAGCTAATGCCACCCGTTATAATGTAGTATAATTTGTTCCATGCTTCAATGTAATCTGCATAATTAGATAGACACTTCATAGCAGCATATATTAAATATTGTACGAGTCATCTATGTGACTAGCATAAAAGTTCGCCTTTTATTAATGCTTCTTTTTCAAGGTTAACAATGTGATACTTTTTAAATTTAAGAGATCAAACACTTAATCATTTTGACATCGATTCAAATAGCAGTGAAGTCATAGAAGCAACATAAATCATTGAAGTATTTCTTCATTTAGTCTCGTATAGATATCATATTTATAAATTTAAACGATGCCTTTTGGCATTTTCATTATGTATTTTACACAATTCTGTTTCGCAAAATATCGTCATTAAATTAATTAATATTAGTGAAAAAGTATCTATAACTAGTTCATCAAATTACATTCTAGGAATAGCATATCCACAATTTTATACCCCCGATCACCTGACCTTACTACCTTCCTTTCAAATTAATTTATCTTCCATCACTTTCTACTGTGAATGTATGTACATTGTAATACAATCAAGTAAACTGAATTATTCAGCGGGTCAGCTGTTCATTTTCATGTAATTTACTTATGTTATTTCACAGAGACTTCCTAACTTCTCACACTCTATGAAAATTATATGAACGTACAGTACGTAATATACCGACATTATAGCCAATTTTTAACAGTTCGTCAAAAATGTCAAAAACAATCTGTCCATAAAGTATTGAGTGCATTTTGTCTCGAGTTTAATTTTTCTAGTCTCCGTGTTTCATTCCGAAGTCAAACCAGGAACCTATGGTTTATTTTCTCGCTATCACCTATCACCTATCTACGTTTCAATAATATTTGCATCTGTACCGAACAATGTCAATGCGCAATGATATTTGTTAGATCCAACGAAGCTTGTTCGTACGGCGAAAAACGTCGCTTGAATGGAGATGTTCGATGCAATTAACTTAGTCTGTCAAATCCAGATAAGACCAGCTTACGGCGCCAATAACAACGTTCAAATTGTTTCAACAAATCGCATGACGCCTGCGAAATTGTATCGTAGCTAAACGATTAACACGATTTCAGTGGTCAGGGACGATCATAACTTGACAGTGTACCGATCAAGTAATTGTTACTGATCGTCAATTATTTTTGATTAATCGCGTTGGTTGACCGGACTGGCGCGAATATATGTAGATTTATTCTTAATTACGATATTAATTATCCTTGGAAATTGTTATTTTCTACTGGTCCTTATGACACGTGAGAACTGAAACTTTTATCAAAGGAAATTCAGACGTAACTTTCTCTTTAAAATTATAATTTTTTTATATTTTTCGTTGTAGAAAAAAAAATGTCGATTAATTTCTTGAAGGTTAATTTTGCCATTTTTCTTCTGTCTTCTCTTTATCATTATGCTAATTTGGTACTCGATAAATGAAATATCAAGTAAATGAAAAATTATTTCTTATTTACGTGTGAAAGAGATTAGTCTTTAGAAAATGTTTATACTTCTTTTATTTCGTTTATCATTATCTAATACTAAAGAACAAATGAATTGAACGGTCGTTGGACAAACAGATAAGAATCTTTCAGAATTCTTTGTACTTCTTCTGTCTCTTCTTTATCATTATGTTAATTTGATGAAGCAAGAAATTACCATAAGGAACAAATAAATGATAAAGAGCAAATTAACGAAATATCAAATTAAAGAAGTGGAGGAAATAAGAAAAACTCGCGAGAGTCAAATCGTATCGGAAGGTTATCGTAGCAATTCAGAATTAATTCTGAAGATTCAAAGGAAACGTTAATACGTTCTGTTTGAAGAAACTCTATGATGGAAGCTCATAAAATTTACGCAGGCTGTAACATCGTGAGGAAACTAGTGCGTTTACTAAAGGCCAGAAAGACCCGAAAACGACGTTTGAATAATTGTTTCTGAAAAAAATCAGCCGTATTATTGGCGATACAGCCTTGTAGTAAATTGCAGGAAGTATCACAACCTCCTGATATTTAAAATGACGCCTATACGGATCAGAAATTCCGTATTTAAAACCGGGTGACCTTCGCGAAACGAGAGAGACGAAGAGAAAGGAAGAACGGCGGAGGAACGGGATCCGTTGACTAACCTCTGGCTATAAAGCCTTCGTTTCTTTTCCTTTTCTTTCCCGAGTGCAAATGTACCATTCTCCTTATTTGCCAGAGTGTCGTAGTTCCGGACAGTTTCAGCAAATTCAGCGATTTTTGATTAATTATTTAATGAAGAATTTAGTGACGTTAATTATTGCATAATGCAACACACAAAGGACACCGTTTCATTGTAGTATTTGTTTCTCATTTAAGTCGTGAATTATGCTACATGGAACGCAGAATAATCCTGCTATGACATTTTAGACGTTTTTTTTAAATATATAATATATGATCACGATATGTTAGTATTGAAAAGTTCCTCGGTTCAAGGAAAATATAAACGAATCGATTATTTCTGTTATTCCTTATTTTTATTTTATATTAACATATTTTTTTTAAATATTAAGAGTCTCTTTATTTATAAAAATGGAAACAAGAACGAGACATAAAAATTCCAGACAGAGGTTATAGCGGACTTAAGTTCATCTGTATTTTTAGCTACAAATGTAATTGATAAGAAGCGGAGAAGGTTGGTTGATTATAAATAAACTGCAGATGCGATTGTAAATAAACTTTTATGCTGTTTTATATTGGGAATATAATTTAAAAACTAAAACCTCAGTTGAAGATGGTTTTACACATTATTTTTTCATATTTTTTCATATTACTTTAAAATTAACTTGAAATGCATAAGATCTACAGAGTTATAAAATACGTAAGATTCAGCCGATTGCTTCTATCAGTCAATAAGAGATCCGGCGTTCGATATTTTTATCGTTATCTCATCGGTATTTTCTTTTGTAGCGTAACTTCTAGAAGTATCTTCTAACGATTTCATCGTCCAAAAATTTCTCTGACTGTGTTATTTCGCGCACAGAGACTAAGTGAAAATACTCGCGGATGTTAATCTTGCTGCTGATAATTAGCATATCTGCTTTTAGGATGACGTTAATGCATTAAATAGTGCGAAATATAATTTCGCAAAAAATAAGTTAGACGCAATTTCAAGCGAGCATTCTGTCCAGATAACAAGAAGTTATCCGCCGTGATTTACAATCTTAAATATAGCATTTACTGATTTTTTATTTGTCGAGACGCAAACAAAGATTCTTTCGAGTCAGGTAAATATGCAAAATCAATCTTTATTTGTTTCTCTCTGAATATATTTTTTTTAAATAATTTAAATTAATTGTTCGGGTCTTGCTTTATTTGTATAATTAAACGAACGATCTCATCTTGCGATAAACGACTTGCTCGGGACTTGCTCACAATTTTCTGCGAGAATTATCGCGTAGAATATTTCACAGATATAGAGAGGGGAATATATCTTATCTCACTGGGAATATTACAGATAAAACACTAGAACGACAGTTTATCTGCGACGCATTATGTGAAGCCTCGCAGGTAACGTTCCCAAGTTGTTCCCCAGAGTCTTGAACTTATTGTTTTTATCGAAGTCTGATCCTCCTTTTATATATCTCTTATCTCGTAATTATACGTTTTATTATCGAAGAATTAAACTGCTGGAAATTAACAGACTGCTTCATGTGATGTCACATATTCGACTTGAACTCTGTTCGGCTTGCTCGATACAAGGATACCTGAAACGAGTTCCTGAATTTACAGTTTCTGTAAACAGAATTTTTCCATTTTTGTAATCCTTCAAAGTTCAAGAAGTTGCAGCTTATTTTTATTTTTTGTTGAAATTGCGTTCGAAGTGAATATTTTCGGCATCCCATTTTCTACTAAGTTATTTTTACAAATAAACGTACCAATACTTGAACATACAGGCCTCGATTTTACTTCATTCTCTCTCCGTCTTATTCTATACCCTCGCCCTTGTGATTCTTGCTGCAAACAAAAGCAACGAATCGTCTTGTAATAACAGTAACAATGCACCAATTAGCTTAAATTACTCGGTGAATCGATTTGCATACATTGATTCACCTTCGTCAGTGTTCCTCCACTGAAATTTACATTGAATCGTTCCTAAATCTATCCTCTTGATTTCAAGTACGAGATACCTCTCTTATACAATGTGTAACAGTACCACGAGCAAATATGCCTCGTTGAAGGTTACGGAAGTGCCATGAGATAAATAAAAGTTTCATTTCGTCCGAACATGATACACAGGATCTTTCATAACAATGGAATCTTGCTTTATAACACTACCTGGAGTTGTTAGAAGCCTTTATTCACTAGGAAAGTCTGTCACTAATTTTTATCCATAGGCTTCAAGTATATAGTTATTAATTAGAGACAACATTCTTCCTGTTTTATCGAGTTCTGTACGGAACAATCAATTAAATTTCATATCTTACGGTAATGTTCTAGGAATTCTTTGTAAAAAATCTTCCACTGAAAATGTCATAGTATAGACAGGTTATTTACTTCGCAGGAATTGAATTTTAAATATCTAAAAGAAAAGAAAGATTCTATACATTTCATAAGTTGTTATTTATTTAGTTTAATTAAAGTCTGGTTAAAAGTTATACAGATTCTGAAAAATGACGACATTAAAGTATAAAATGCGCAAGTTGTATTTCCTTTACTGTATATATGATTTTTCACTGCATTTTTTCAGCCTGTTTGTATATTCTTTTTAATGAATGTGAAAAACATGATTGACGTTTCAGAATTTCAACTAGCAAAGTAATTATAATTCATGAAATATCCGGAACTTTTCTGTTCCTGTTTTAAATATATAAAATTCGTGAAATGTACACGGAGTTCTTTGAGTTTGAATAGTTTCGTCCCTGAAAGTTTAAAAGCTTGTTGCGAAATATTCAAATATTCCATTTGGAATACCGAATAAAATCTGGCAATGAAATTTAAAATGTCCAATATGCATAGTCGCCAAAAAGAAAAAAAAACATATTTCCTTTTCGATGAATTTTATTTCCCTCAAGAGCTGAGATCGATAAGACGGATAAAATTTGTTTTATAAAAGCAGCTCGGGAAACGAAGTGATAGATGTTTGACGATGCTAAATGATGCATAGAAAATTAAAGGAGTGCAAACAATTTGATGGAAAACGACTACATGGAGAAAGTCTCGTTTCACGCTGTTTGAAGGAGCGAGCTAGTCAAAGAGAGCTATTAAACCAACCGAAGTAAAAGAAGGTAAAAAGTTTCAGCCAAGGGGAAAATGCTTTAATTGGGCAGAAGAAACAATGGCAGCAAGGCGTTGTATTCAGACGAGACAAAGTGAGTCATGCCTACATATAAGGTGAGACAGCTGACACGACGAGATTTGCAACTTGTTAATGTAATCGGATGGAACTTTGTACGGAACGCCACTTCAAATAGTACGTCATTTACCTACTTTTTTTTCCAAACTTCTCATTACTATAGTACTACATTCAATCGATATTCGCGATAAAACTATTTTAATATTTCGATGTTCTCAGCAGGACAAGTTTCAGATTGAAGTTAGACTGTAGTATTTCAACTACTAGAACTATTGTAGTACTTCATTTAAAATATCGGAAACAATATTTTCACAGGTAGTAGTAACACGCTGATGTATCTCGTTCATTTAA